TGTTCATCAGCTCATGAAGCTTTTGGTCCAAATGCACTTCGAGTCAATAACATGAACCTTGGGACAGGAGGTAAACAAGCAAAGTTACGCTCTACTGAAATTCCAACCGATGATCCCAACATACCACTAGAACTTCGAGGTCTTTCACAGACAATGGTCTTTCCCGAAGACTACCACATTCAACACCTTGCTGGCAAGGCAAAAGGAGTGCAGGTTATTCTTGAAGAGCGCGGTTTGTGGGGTCCTTATAAAACCAAGGTGAAGGGAAAGACCCTTTTCAAATGCGATTCATGTAAACAGTCTGGAATTGCTCGTGACGCAAGAAACCGAACCGATCGATTAATCAAAGAAGCCAAATCCGTAGGTTTTTTTATCAATGAGATCGAAAACAATCACAGCATCAACATCAACAACCAATCATCCGATCCGATGTGTTGTGCTTTCAAGATTCTCAGCCAACAGTCGGATTTCTTGAACGAGAAACCTCTTCTACAGAAAGTCATTGAGGAAGCAGGGCATGTGTGCCTCTTCCTTCCCAAGTTCCATTGTGAACTTAATCCAATCGAGATATTTTGGTCTTATACTAAAGATGGTACATCTCCATCAACGAAGTCTTATCTCGATCAACGATTACATATGCTAACATCATCTTTTTTTTTAGATTATCGAAAGCACTCTCGGGAATGCAAAGGTTTTGCAGAATGCAAGACCCAATTCGAGAAATCACGGAAGTCCTGCCCGGTATCAACCATCCGAAGATACTTTCGGAAGATCGATAGGCAGCATTCAGCATACCGGTCAGTTCTCTTCTCTCCTGACTGGAGTTTTTGCCACTGACACAAAGATTTCTGTAGGCAAGGATACGACAGTGTTGTCGCCGCAAAGGTAGTGAAGCTGTATTCCTCTCATCGATGTGTTCCAAGGAATGCGGCGTGCAGAATTGATGTCCTTGCTCCACAACCACAAAAGTAGAGTTCAAGATCTCACTTTAGAATATCAAGGTAGGTGACTTTTTTCTCTTTCCATCTCTGCTGTCAGTCAAGTATCTGTGCCTTGCAATGAATCATCTTAAGCGAGATGATCCCATGCCCTAAGCCAAAAGCTGGCAATCGGCTCAGCTGCGAGCCGTGCTGAGCCGAGATGGGCATCTAAGTGTCTAAGATGCCTACACTAAGTGTGCTAGCAGCTTATGGACATCATGTTAAGTGCCTAGCTATGCCCTAAACCCCTAGCTAAGTACTTAAGCTTAAGCCTTAGGTCCAGGTCCGAAGGTTCGAGATCCCCAAAAAACAAAATTATATTTCACGACTTTGCTTAGATATTTCTAGATTAAGTCAAATCTCTACATTTCAGCTATCTATGTAATGTGCCTAAACATTGAGGTTACGTATGGTATCTTTAAGCCGAAGACTCAAATCTCAATTTTGCAGGGGGAGTTGTTACACATTCTTGACTTTACCCACTGTAGTGGACCCGTTGCGCAGCCACAAAACCGCTCCGCAACCGCTCCGCGATCGCGAAAAATCGCGGAGCGATTGCGGTATTGACGGAGTGAGTTTATAGTTTATCACGTATATCAAACAATCAATACGTCCCAAAACTTGAGCCCTGACATCATGGCTTATCAGATCGGTAGAGCTTGGATCCCTGTTCAAGGGCAGAAAGACCTCAGGTCAAAGATGTTGATAGACAGTACGAATGTCACAACATCATGTTAATCGAACTTATAGCCAACGGTAGCTTTCTTAGAGGCTCGCCTGCGATCAGGATGTAAGAACTCCGCCTATCACGTACTGCGAATACTTGTTCTTTTTTGTTTGTATATGCCTGTCTGAATACGATGATGCATATGGCAGCTGTGGCTCTCATGCCAGTTTCTTTCACATATTACAACTCTATACAACTGGTGGTGTTCGCAGACAATTGTCATCATGGATTCTGACTACATACTTGTCGAACGGTCTCTTCTGGCCGGGAGCTTCTGAATCACATCAATTGATGATCTTTGACTAAAGTTGTCTGAATCTGAGTACGTCAACGACGATTTCACTATTAGTTTTCCAATTCCTTCCTTTGCCTTTGCCCATAGAACCGTAGGAAAGACTTCCTGGTAAGCTCTTATTCGCCTGCAAATTGAAATTCCTTCGGCGACCTATGTATCTCAAAAACTATGGAGCAAAAACTATGCAGACTTGATCGGCATGAAATAGGGCTCATTGTTATGCAGAATAACTCGCTGGATAAGCATATTTTGTTAGATTTTAGTCGGCAAGTGATTAGTTATCTCTAAACTATCAATTCCTACAATCATATCTACCAATCATTATTGATGCTAGTAAAGATTTATATGGAAAGTCTTGTCATTGAGTCGTCCATACATCTCCCTCAAACATTATGTTTGGGTGATGAATGTCAAAGTGTGATCATTCATCTATAAGGAATCTCCAAACGCCATTACTCCAAAGGCTTCAGCATCCTCTTACAAAAGTCAAGCCATATCACTATGTAGTTTCTCAAGCTACCCACGAGTATCTCATCTTTCACTCAAGTTGTGCACTTTACATGTATCCCTCATAGGAAGGTACTTCAAATGAATCAATTAGCAAATGGTCATCTCACAAGTTAATAATTACCAAATATATACCTTCTCCTGATCTTACAACTCAACTCAATACAAACAAAACCAACTTCACACAATGATTCAAAGCAAGAACCCATCAAAAAAGAAAACCACAATCCAAACTTCAGAGCAAAACATTTCCAATCTTTTTCTTCTCCAAAGGTTTACCACAAATCCAACAACCCACATCATCTTCAGACATTGAGGTAACAGTTTGTTCAAATTCAGACTTGATCATACCTTTTCTCATCCTACCTTCTACTAATGCTGCCATCATTATTTCTTTTTCAAATGCACACCAAGCATAGAATGTGTCTACAAAAAAACATGACTGAGGTTTCATTCAATAATTGTGTTTCTCCTACTGATTCATCTTACTATAATCCACACTATTCACACTCCAGCACGGTTGTGTGATGTGAAGAAAGAAAAAAATTAAGCTAAGTATGATATTCAAACTTTTCATTATAACAAGGAAAACACCTGGATAAATGTAGACAATCATCCACCAGAATTGATCAACACTCTTCAATAAATGAGATCTGAGCAATGCATCCCAAAATCAGCCACTGCAAAGATCCAGAAATGATTGAGAAGGTAGTAGAAAAGTAAAACAAAAAGACCTGTAAATTAAAATCATGAAGAATTTTAATGATGGATTTTTTCAAACCTTCAATCTCCAATCTGTTTTGGATTCCTTGAATCAATATAATTGGATCAATCTCAGATCCAACGGTCTCTAAAAGACCTCTGATCAAAGCTAAATATTCTTTTTCCACAAAGACCAACAATGTTCAGTCAATTATCACAACTATGAATCGGAATTCAATAGCTCAATACCTGGTCTACTTGAGGGGCTTTGTTAAGCTTAACAAAAATCCAGGAAACCAGAGACCACCAATCTCATGTTCACTGTAAGTTACAGGTGTTGTCAATAAATGATGTAGGTAAGAAGGAGTTGTGATATGAAGATGCTTGGCAGAGAAAATTTGTAGGGGATAGGCAGAGCTTTAATATGGTGTCCTCAATCTTTTCTTCAATGTACTTTACCAAGGTGTCCAGAAAGAACTTGGAGACCCAATCTGCACTCTTGGTTCCCCAGACTCCCTTAGACTTCCTGAAACTCGCCAAGAAAAATCTTTGAACCTTTGCCTCTTGGCAGGATCTGATTCTCATCCATATTGGCAATATGGCAGCACTTGACATTTGATCACTTGATTACAATATCTGAGGATAAAAATAGTGAAATGCTGTTCTTGACTCTGAGCTGTGACATGAACAGAAAAGAAATGTAGCAGAGTGCACATATGGAAATTGTTGTAAGGAGTCATTAACAGGGGTCAGAGCTTGTGAAGACATAAGCTTCATCAATTGCAATAATCCAAACTCATTTGCAGATCACCAGCCATCCCATTGGGCTTATTGTCAAGGTATTGCAACAAGTGACAGGAGGAAATTGCCCCTTTCCCATACCAGCCTTAAGTGGAATGGTTGTAGAAGTCAGATCCAAAGTAATTAATCAGATAGGTACCGGCGTGCTATTTCTATCCGGCATATGAACACCAAGGCTACTCGACATCAATTGGCCTCTAGTTCAGTTGCAAACACAAACCAAGAGCAATTGTAAATACAATACCTACATTTTCTCTGTACAAAAAGAGTACAAAGAATTGTTTCATAGGATCAAAGAGCAGAAGGACAGAAGGAGATGTTATCAACCTATCTATGACTTTGAGACAAAATCAGAGTGCATCCCCACAAAGAAGATGCTTCCTGGCTGTTATGCCCAGTGTTTGTCATGCCAGAATTTAGAGCAAGTATGACTGAATTGCTCAAGATCCTTGGACAAGATTAAGAGGTCCACAGGAGCACGGGGGGATTCTGGGTTTCATGATGAATATAAATAGCTCACAAGGTTTTTTCAGATCAGAAAGTTTAAGACTTGCTTCACTCATTGTGGCTATCAATTTATGCACGCATGCCTGTAGTTAAAAAAATCTGATGAAACTCTGTAGAACTCTATATATTGGTCAAGAAACTTTGAAAGAAAAAAATGGAAATATCCAAAGTACTGCCATTTTGTTTTCAAAAGGGGCATTAAACTATCCATCAACCATAAACTAGTTGATTTGCTATATTATGCCACAGATGTAGAGCTAATTCCACAAGAACAGAAAGGTACCCCTGCATCATTTACATCTCTGAGGTAGAATTACCTAACGATAGCAGATTCCCATTTCAAAAAGTTCCTTATCATAAATCTCATTAAAATTCACTTTATCCTAAAGACTACAAAAGAAACAAGAAATTTATACATTTATTTCACAAAGTCTCAAAATGAAGTGCAATTAGCCAGATAACACTTGGAATGCATATAAATTTAACTTTCAATCTCTTTTCGTTTCTTATCAAGTTTCATTCGTTTCAATTTGTTAACCTTTTGTTTTTCACCAAATTTATTTTCTTCCAATTCCTATCAACACATTAAGAAACACGCACCCAAATCACTTTTCTAACACATTAATGAATCATATTCTAAAGGTGAAAAAAACGTACCAAATAAGCCTCTCTTTTAGCTTTACTAATTGGATTAAGATATTCCAAAACCTTATCTTCTTTCATCATTAATTCTTCCATTTTCAATCCCATCTTTTCTTCAATTCCTAAAACACAATCTACATCATTTTCAGCCACAAGACTGATACTAACTCCATCTGATAAAACTCCACGAGCGGTTCTACCAACTCGATGAACATATTCATTGAATTCTAAAGGAATATCCCAATTGATTACCAATTTAACTTGTTTAAGATCTAATCCTCTAGACCCAAGATCAGTAGAGATCAAAATCGTAAATCTACGTTCTTCAAAATCTTCAATTGCTTTTAATCTTTGAATTTGTGTTAAATTAGAATGTAATGAACAAGCTGGAATTTTAAAAGGTAAAAAATCGGAATTGAATGCAAGCTTTAACATTTCTGCCGTTCTTGGTTTTGAAACAAAGATTATTGTTTGTGGGATATCTATTACTGGATCTTTTGTTTCTTCTTCTTCTGTTATTAAACGTTTCATTCGATTGGAATATTTCGTTCGTTTGGGTGGTTTTGAATTCGATTTTTTTGTTTTTGGAAATGGGTTGACTATACCGGTTAGTTGGTTTAAGTTTAATAGTAAATAGTAAAGGTATGTCTCTTTGACTTGTGAAGGCACAAAACTATAGAGTTGTCTCAAATTTTCAGGTAAATTGATTCTAATTTCAACACACAAAAAATTTTAGTCAATCATCTTGAAAGTTTTTTAGAAGAATTCCTGTCGGTTTACTGACCCACGTGAGCCACAAAGATGGACAACAGGTTTCAGTTTTCCTGGAGGTGGATCTTTGTTGGCAAGAGCCAGGACAGGTTCCGTAAGTGTGGCAGTGAAGAGAAGTGTTTGACGTTGCGAAGGTGGTGGAAGATGATGATTGATGAGATAAGCAAGCGGGTCCGCAAAAGTGGATGTTAACATCCGATCTGCTTCATCCAAAACCTACAAAAGGGAGCGTTCAGGTGTAAGTTTTTACGATTCGACTCCTCAATCCGTTTAAACGATCGATGGAAATATATATGGGATACAGACAAACAAACCAAAAACTTGCAACGTCTTAGGTCCCAGTTTCCAATTTCACCATTCGAGCTTTTAAGATGATCAACCAATCTACCAGGAGTGGCAATAATCACATGAGGTCTTTTCCTAAGTTCAATCGCTTGTGAAGTCATTTCAATACCTCCTACAATCACAGTAGAAGAAAATCCAGGTATAGCTAAAGACCCTAAAACTTTTAATTGTGATGAGATTTGAAACGCTAATTCTCTTGTTGGCGTTAAAATTAATGCATAACATGAACTTGGATCTTTTGCTAAACCTTGTAGGATTGGGATTGAGAATGCTATAGTTTTTCCTGAACCTGTTTGTGATGAACCAATACAATCTCGTCCTGAATGCCACACAAAGATATTCATGTTGGTGATATTTCCCAAGTGTTATGAGATGATGAAGAGATAGTTTGAATTTACCATTGAGGATATCAGGTATCGTTTTTGCTTGAATTTCAGTAGGAGATTGAATTGAAAGTGATTTAAGTGCACTTATGAGGGATGAATGAACGTTTAGGTCTTGAAAAGTAGTGCTTGTGGTGGTCATTTTGTTTGAGATAAGTTCTTCAAGGCTCAGCAAATTTTATAGCAAGGCTGAGTCTGGAATCTGGATGTGAAGGACAAAAAAATGTGAGTGAGGGAAGCGGCAGGTGAAACTCAGGTAACAGCTGCGAAGGCCTAGTGACATCTCACAAGCCAGTAAGAAAACACACACGTGACACCTAGATACCACTGCACAATGCAGCCCTTCATTACCCAAGTTGACCTCCAAAGGCCTCATGACCGATACAAGATAGATTAACAGCTCAACCAAGCATGGAAGAGAATGAATCAAAATCATTCTCGCTTGATACTTCAGACCAAGATGAACACGAGAATTCAAATGTTGAAGATGAAGAAGAAGAAGAAGAGGACGAGGAAGAACCATTGTTCAAGTATCGAAGGTTAGAGGGTGAAGTGGATAAGGTCTTTGGAAAGGACAGTGGATGTGCCATCGTAGCATCAGAGAAGTTATTGGTATGTCTTTTGATATATATATAATGATGATATGACTCCCGGAATCTGATATCCTTTGACAATTTAAAACAGGCTATCGGCACCCATAATGGGGTAGTTTACGTTTTCAATCATAAAACTGAAATCATTAAAAGGTTTAGACCACACTCAGCAACAATTCATGACATCAAATTAGAAGCCAGTGATCAATTTGTAGCCACAGCATCAATGGATGGCAAAATTTCAATCGTACAACTTTCAGGTGGAAATGATGTTTTCATTCTAGATTTAAAAAGACCAATGAGATCTATTTCTTTAGAACCACTGTATCATAAACATCCAAACAAACGTCATTTTATTTCAGCTGGTCTTGCTGGAAATTTGATTTTACATGAGAAAGGTTGGTTAGGCAATAAAGAAACTATTTTACATTCTGGTGAAGGTCCGATTTGGTCTACTGATTGGAAATCTAATCTGGTGGTTTGGGCCAATGATGCTGTAAGCTTCTTGTTATTTCGTTTAGACTTGATTATAAAAGAGCTGATACCGATGCATCAGAAACTCCTGTGTTTTTTTGGATCCCACACATTCCAGGGTATTAGGATCATGGACATCAACCCTCATCATAAACTAGCCTTCATCCACGCGCTCATCTGAACCAAGACCAGATTTGT